TAAAAGAAAAAATAAAGTTAACCAATAAAGAGGAAAATGTAACAATATTAATGTTACTCCAGCATTTTTTTAAAAAATATAAAGTGAAGAAAAATTCTTATCATAGCAAATTTATTTTGCAACGTTCTTTTTGAAACCAGTTTTTATTTTATTTGTGACTATTTGGTCTATGTATGTGTACCACTTATGTGCCTGATGCCCATAGACACTGGGAAAGGAAATCCTCCTCTGGCCTCAGTGTGTGCATATGCCTAGTACAGGCTTCAGCACATACACTAGCTGCTTCAGACACCATACACAACACACACATATAGAGAGAGACAGAAAGAGAGAGAGGAAGAGAAAGACACAGAGAGAGGAAGAGGGGAGAAAACCTTTTCCTACCAGAGAAAGGAGTAAAAGCATTGATGTACAAAATCAGGAAAAAAATCCTGCCGTATCAAATTCAATTTAGACTATTCCCTTTCAATTATTTTCTTCTATTTTATGTGTATGGTTTTCTTGTCTGCATGTGTATGTGTACCCAGCATGCATGCAGTGCCCTTGGAGATCAGAAGAGAGTCATGGGGCCTGGACCTGACTACATAAGCCGCCAAACAAGCTGGCTCTCTGGATTTTCAGCTCTGTTTACGTCAGGTCCCATGTATCTACTACCTGCCTGTCACAGCCTGGATCCACTTCCCAGTCCCCAAGTCTACTGAACTTAGATTAAATAATTAAATAATTAAACAGCAGCAGCAGCAACAACAACAACAACTGGTCAGAGTCAAGTAATGACAAAAAGCAAAGAAAGGTCACCTAGATACTTTGCAGGACACAACAGATAGTGACTGAACTGACTTTGAAATTTCCTGCTTCATGGAAATGTCTGCTGGAAACTATGGGCCTGTAGGCTGAAGATGGATGCCCCAACAGTGCAGAGGAACTTTGGGTGACTGTACAGGCAGCGAGATGTCTCTGTCATTTCTAGAGTTTTGGATTTCTTGTTTGCTTAATTAATATTATATCCTTCTGGAGTCTTTGATGGAGTTAAAGAATATATAGATAGTTATAGTTTTCCTTAGTTATGAAAAAAGATAAAATAGATGTAAATATTGTAACTTTTACTTGATAACTGTTTTGTTATATGTAATTTTGCTATGTTAAAGTTAAAGCCGTTTTTGTTTAAACAGAAAAAGGGGAAATGATGGAGGAAGGTCATTGGTTAAGTAATAAAGAAACTGCTTGGTCTCATAGGTTAAAACATAGGTGGGAAGAGTAAACAGAACAGAATGCTGGGAGGAAGAGGACGTGAGCTCAGAGGCCATGCTCCCCTCTCCCGGGCAGACACATGTGATGAAGCAAGCCGCCAGGTCAGACATGCTGAAACTTTCCCGGCAAGACCGGTGCTACACAGTTTATTAGAGATGGGTTGATTGGGATATCAGAATTAGCCACTAAGGGCTAGAGCTAATGGGCCAAGAAGTATTTAAAAGAATACAGTGTCCATGTAATTATTTTGGGTATAAAGCTAGCCGGGTGGCGGGAAGCAACCCGCAGCTCCCCACTACACAGGAGGACCAATGGAACCAAATAGAAGACCCGGATATCAATCCTCACACCTTCAAACACCAGAAAAACTCAAGTCCAAATGGATCAAACAACTCAAGCAAAAGTCAGCACACTGAACCATATAAAAGAGAAAGTGGGAAGTACACTTGAATGCATTGGCACAGGAGACCACTTTCTAAATATAACCCCAGCAGCACAGACCCTGAGACAAACAATTAATAATTGGGACCTCCTGAAACTGAAAAGCTTCTGTAAAGCAAAGGACATAATCAACAAAACAAAATGGCAGCCTACAGAATGGGAAAGATATTAACCAACTCCACATCAGACAGAGGTCTGATCTCCCCAAAATATAAAAAGAACTCAAGAAATTGATCATCAAAAGCACAAATAATCCAATACAAAAATGGAATACAGACCTAAACAGAGAACTCTCAATAGAGGAATCTAAAATGGCTGAAAGACACTTAAGGAAATGCTCAACATCCTTAGTCATCAGAGAAATACAAATCAAAACAACTCTGAGATTCCATCTTATACCTGTAAGAATGGCCAAAATCAAAAACACTGATGACAACTTATGCTGGAGAGGATGTGGGGAAAAGGGAACACTTCTGCACTGCTGGTGGGAATGCAAGCTGGTAAAACCCCTTTGGATGTTAGTGTGGTGATTTCTCAGAAACAACCTTCCTCAAGACCCAGTAATACCACTTTTGGGTATAAATCCAAAGGATGCTCAATCGTGCCACAAGGACATGTGCTCAACTATGTTCATAGCAGCTTTGTTTGTCACAGTCAGAACCTGGAAACAACCTAAATGTCCCTCGACTGATAAAGAAAATGTGGCACATTTACACAGTGGAGTACTACACAGCAGGAAAAAATAAAGACATCTTGAATCTTGCAGGAAAATGGATGGAGCTAGAAAACATCATTTTGAGTGAGAAAACCCAGACACAGAAAGACAATTATTACATGTACTGACTCATAAGTGGATTTTAAACATAAAGTAAAGAAAACCAACCCACAATCCTAGAAATCTAGACGACATGAGGACCCTAAGATATACATGGATCTAATCTACATGGGAAGTAGAAAAAAGACAAGTAAATTGCGAGCATGGGGACCTTGTACTCTCTTCCCCCATAAGTGTCAATTTACTGTTTGATATCAAACACAATAAACATTTATTATCAGGAAGAAGTCTCATTTTATTTCTGCATGTTATTCTCAAGTACACATTTATAATATCTCTTCACTTAAGCATTTTGTGGTATTTCACAATGAGTAAAAAATAAAAGATGGAAGATGGGGAGAAAAAAAAAGAAAAAAGAAAGAAAAAGAAAAAAATAAAAGATGGAATAACAGGCAATTCCATTGAAATAATTCACTTCCTTTAAGAATTTGTACCTTTTATAAAGTTTTGTCTGGAACAAATTTTCTGGCTTTGTTAATTGTTAAAGAATAATTTAAAAATTAAAGCCTTATGGTCACAGTAAATAATGTAAGTACAATTCATTTTTATGTAAATTATCACATTTCCTTTACCAAGCTTTTATCACCTTTCAAAAGTCTGACTATTGTACTTTAAAATAAAACAAAAAGTATAACTCCAGACTGTGAAAAACACAAAGTTTACAAAGCACTATTTAAGTTTATTTAAATTCTTATACATAAAATTTTCACTTAAATATGTATGTTTATATTACTTTAGGACAAAGCAAAATTCAAGATTAACCAAGTCTTAGACATAAAGAATAGACTTTTACAGAACAGTACACTGAATAGCAACTAAAATCTGAAAGGGATAAACTCAGGTGCCAAAAGGTCTGAGCTTTGCTTGGCAACAGCTGAATGCCCATGTACAGATTGTATTATGTTTTTAGTACTGAACTTAAATCTAACATATTTTAGAGAATGTCAAGCACCAATTACTTAAAGTTCTAATTCTATGAATATAACTTCTAAATATAAGTATCACTGGAACAGAAGAAAAAAAGTGCAAAACCTGCCAGTAAAAGTAGAATAAAGTACCATAAGAGCCAAAGGAGCTGTTTATCAAGTAGGAAATTCCTTTTCTTAAATTTCCTACTATTCTTCAAAATTCTTTAATAATCAAATCCAAAGAGCTAGATCCATTTTATAATATGTCTGGTGAGCAGGAATATCTGTTTAAAATATTAATTCTCAAATAAGAAGTAAAAAATAATCAATTAACATATATGCTATCTTTAAAAAAAACAAGCCCTCACTAAGAAAAATACAAAAGAAAAAAAGAAAAAAAAGGGCTGGCTGAATTGGCCACCTCTATGTTCTAACAGGATTCAGTTTTTAAAACTATATTTTAACAGCCTCTGAGTTTTTCAGGGATTCACATAAAAAAATACAAAGTTGGGTCTGGATCTTCTTTCCATAAAATTTAAGGTAAAATGCAAAAATTGTATTAAAACATTGTACCTATGAAAACACTTTAGTTTCTGCTTTTCAAATATCAAAATTAAGGATAATACCATTACTTCTACCAAGGTCCTCATTTTTCCTCTAATTACCTGAAGTTTAGTTTTTGTGAATACCAAGTATACAAATAGTCTCATGTATCTCGAGATTTTCTAAGTTAATACAAATTGAGTCATTTTCATTACAGATTTAATTGTCATTGGCAGGAAGGACTGTACCTAAAATTTAAACTGCATTTCAATGACAATTTTCAAAATATGCTGTATGTCACAATATATTCCTACAAGTCAGCAAAATTCAGCCTACTCTATCTAGTTCTTATTTATAGAACAAAACTGCAAGGCAATATATAAAGAATTAGAAATCAAGAAGAAGCAAAAACTTTCATTAAGGTTCTCTAAAATTCTGCTATATAGGAAAGAAAATTAAAAACAAGCAAAATCAAATGACCACTAAAGAAAAATTAAAACTAAGCCCAAAGCAAGTCAATGTTCTATAATCAGCAGTGGTAGAGACTTAAACAGAAGTTACATTGTCAAGAATTTGAAAATATTAAGTCAAGGAAATAATTTCCATAGTTTGATAATAAGACATGTCAGAAGAATCTCTCATTTATGTTGGTAATAATTCTAATATGTATTTTGTATCAAAGTAACTTTTCAGGTTACCAATATTAAGTTTTTTTCTTAGAAAAGTACCATCAACATGAGTTAGGTAGTCTTAAGTATTATGTAAGTCAGTTAGGTAGTAAGGTTTCAAAGACAAAATATTCAGCGTAGAATCAGGGACTATGTTGTTAAAAGAAATTTGTTTCTCTCACATAGTAAAGTTTACAGGAAGTAGGATACCCTACTGAATAAAATGTAAAGTCAAATTGAAGCAATATTGTATTTGCTTAACAAACTTACAATATTAGGTCTGAACAAGAATGACTGCTTTTAAAATGAAGTTGTTGCTTCTAAGGCAACATCCCTACAGGTTAAGATATATTCTTAGGGCAGGTTAACTTCCTTATGATGTCGCAATATATGCTGATTCTTTTCTGAGGGTCTCCGGAATCCTTTCTTGCAGTACTCACAGCAGTGAGGATAGTCTTTGGTATGAATGGAGATAACATGTCGCTTAAAGCCTGAGGCATCTGTAGTGCTATATTCACAGTACTCACACTGATATACTTTCCGGCCACTGTGTGTCTTCATATGATTTTGAAGCTCACACTGTTGTTGAAATCCCCTTTGACATCTCTTACATATAAATGGAACACTCACTGTGTGAACTGAGAGAATATGGTGACTTAACACCAACAGATCCAGACCCTTAAAGTCACAGTGTTTACATTGGTGCATTTTTTTACTTTTGTGGGTAGCCGCATGCTTTTTGAGTTCTGAAGGCCTATGAAACCCTTTGCTGCACAACTCACACTTATGAGGGTAGTCTTTTGTGTGAACTGAAATTATGTGTCGCTTCAAATCACTTGAGTTTGAACTCTTATGGCTGCAATGCAAACACTGGTATGTTTTGCTTTCTTGGTGCATTAGAGCATGTCACACTTCAATGGTATCTCTTTACTGTGCTTAGTTTTTATATGTGTTTTCAGGTTAGAAGAGTCTGCAGACCTGTACTCACAATACTGGCATCCATAAGGTTTCTCTCCAGTATGAATCCGTATGTGCTTTTTGAGCTCTGATGGGTGACGAAAACCTTTACCACACTCTACACAAATGTGAGGAAATTTCTTGCTGTGGACTGCTAAAAGGTGGCGATTCAATAATGGCTGTTCATACGTTTTATATTCACAGAATTTACACTTGTACGTTTTGCTGGCTTCTTTTTCTCCATGCATTGTTTGGTGAGAACTCAAAGCCCCAGCATGAGACAAATGGTTCCCAGACTCATTACATTCTGTGTCCTTTCCTGTCTTACTGGCCAGCTTGTGGCTCTCCATGTGATTATGAAAACTTATCTTCTTCTTGGTACTGTAATCACAGTCAGTACAGTGGTATTTTTTATTGGCAAGGTGTTCAGGATGGTTTTTCACATGACTTTTCAAGAAACTTTTTGACTTAAATTTCTTTCCACAAAACATGCAAGGGTAGACAGCTAAGGGCTGTCCATCGGGACCAACAATTATTGCTAAGAAATGGAAAGAGACAAGAAAAATAATCAAACCTCATGTTTTTAGTTTCTTCATTAAGCTTAAAGTATGTTTCCTGGAATTTATCAATTTTTAACATTATTTTCACCACTTTCAACATACATATTGCAATCATAAGAAAGAACTGGATCCAATATGATGGGATGAATTTCATTTTTTTCCAGTTTTTTTAAAGGAAGCTTCAAAGAAGTCTTAAATTACAGTCCTACTCAAAATAATTTGTAAGTAAAGTTAACCGTTTAATTTAATTATTATAATCCAAACTTTCAATAATCAATGACATTTTTCAACAACACCCACAAAAATTTAAATATGTAAAGCTGTGTTCTCCATATACACATGTCCCCAAAACCATCCACGAAAGGAATACAATTAACAATTAAAAGTGCTTTCCTGTTTCCCTAAGAGAAGTCCTTTTAAATTTTAAATGTTCTGGTGGTAGTAAAGGTCTGTGACAGAGGTATTGAAGGGAGGGAGGCAGAAGGATAACAAATTCATTGCCAGCTTGAGCTCCAAAGGAAAAATTTGCCTTTAAACAAAACACAGAAATAAAAGCCCATAAAAACTTGATTATTTTATCTTCACATTAAATAAACTCACAGTCAAGTAACATGATTCATGTCAATAATGACAGATACTTTGAGTAAGCTGGGTTGCCATTAGTTTGCAGTCAGTCTTGGCTAAAGTATGAGACCCCACCAAAATAGAGTAACACAGCTTATGGCTATCTTTTCTGTTCAAACAAAATAACCAGAGAATTAAGTTCCTTTTTCTTAACATCTGATCTATAGCCTGTCAGTAAACCTATCAACGAATGGAAACTTTTATTTTCAAATTCAATGCATCAAAGCCATCTGGGATCAGGCAGTCAAAAAACCATCATTACACTTTTGTGGATATACAACAGCATTTCCTCATATAGTCTGCAGAACACCTTATACCATGGAATTTTTCTCTTTCTTACCAGGTGGATAGTGTCTGGATTCAGGTCTTCTCTTTTTCTTTGGTTTTCGTTTAGGCAGTGTGTCAAGGTCACGTGACTCGTCTAAGTGCAAGACAGCACTTGCAGTGACATTCTGGTTTTCAGTTTCGTCAGAATTATTACCTAACAATGGACATCAAAAACATAATATACAAATTACCAAACTAGGGATTCTTTATTAACTACTACAATGAAATGTAAAACCTGATACCCAATAATAACAGAAACTTCTGTTTTATGTAATGCACTTATGAGCACATTTAGTTGACAACCATAGAAAAAATACCTAACATATGCATCTAACAGTCTGTGAAAACTGTAAAGACACAAGCCAATAGAAGAGAAAAGAAAACAAACTCCAAGTAGAAATTCTCTGTAGTTTTAATTAGGTAAAAATTAAAGTAAAATTTGAACTATATAAGTTCTCCATACTTTTTAAATCACTGACTGGGTTACTTTATATTTGTGAAATCTTAAGACCTCAGAAACCATTTCTCCATAAAGAGATAACAGACTAGAGAGATAGCTTAGTTGATTTGCATTTGAACCCTACACACCCTGTTAAAAAAAGCAAACAAAACAAAAAAGGGATGAATATAAAGGTGCATATTTATAATCCCATCACGAAAAAGGCAGAGACATGTGGTCCTGGCAGGCCAGCCAATCAGTCTCTTCAAGCCAAATAAGAGACTCTCACTCAAAAAACAAGATCTCCTGAGAAACAAATACATAAGATTATCCTCTGTCCTGTAGTGAAAACTTGTTCAGACACAGGATGCTTTAAAGGGAGTTGAAACATTACATCCTGAAGGGAAGGTCCTTAAGCTCAGCAAGGATACAAATCAAAAGCTTCAGGAAGTCCCTGGAAACTGATTAGTCACTCAGACTGCACTCCTTTATCTTCAAACATATTTAGGCAGTTAGGAAAGTAAAGGGAACTGTCAGACAAGATGGACTACTTTGAAGAGGCTCAGATCAGCCATACTACCTGGAAGAGAGTCACATCTTAGTTGCCTGGAAATCCACTCTACAACCTGTCAAAATGCTTACAGGTTACATGATAAATTCCAGGTTTCCAGCTTTCATTTGCCATGCTTGGGTAGGTTTTTGACTATGTTATCTAGCTGTCTTTGAACCATTTCTGTTCTTGTAGGTAACTTCAGATTCCTAAAAATAACTTCAACCAACTCACTGGTTCACCATGCTGGATTTTGGTTGTATCCATACTTTGGTCTCTGTCACTGTTTCCCTATCTGGGATGACTAGACATTTCTTAACATCTCCCGAGGACTAATGTTACACAAGTGTCTCTACATATATGAGCACGTTTCTGCATCCACATTCATACACATCCCCACATAGATATACACCATACCACAAACAGGGTAAGTAAATCTGTACTAAATCTTTAAGCTGTTACTTACCATAGGCCGCTGTCCATGCACTAGGCAAGAAAGCTGACTTCATATCACGATCATCCATCTGTTGTTGTTCATGCACAGTAGTAGCTGCTGCTATGCCACCAGTGTCATCATCTCCTACAATCACTTCCATATAAACCTCATTTGTTATTTCAGCAACATCTAAGCACAAATTATTAAGTACTTTTGTGACTAGGAATATCACAATTTTAGCAATAAATAATTTATTAATATAAAACATCATAGTAATATTCAATGAAGATTGGGTGTATTCCACTTTTTATCTCAATAATTTATTATATCTGCTTATTTATTTAGTTAGTTTGGGCATCTCCCCCAGTTGGTTCTCTAAGCACTTGTTCCTTTAACTTTAGAATAAACAAGATCTAAAATTTCTGGCCACTGTTTTTTGCTTTCTAGGTAAAATGCTCAACATCCACCCATCCTTGCTCCCTTCTTTCAAGGGTTCAAATGCTCATGAGCAAGTCCTGAAAGCTGGAGTCACAGTTACCGGGTGCACCGTACACTTTGTGGCCGTGAGTATGCCTTTTCCTACAAACTTTTGCCTCTGGTGTCTGGATGCAGACCACACTGGCTAAAAAGCAAGGTTTGAAAACATCTGCTTCCTTCTCCAGGAGGATGTAGATGCCGGACAGATCGTCCTACAAGAAGCTGTCCCCGTGAAGAGGGGTGACACTGTTGCCACTTTGTCTGAGCGAGTCAAAGTAGCAGAGCATAAAATCTTTCCTGCAGCCCTCCAGCTGGTGGCCAGCGGGGCCGTGCGGCCTGGAGAAGACGGCAAGGTCCACTGGGTCAGGAAGCAGTGAGGCCACCTGGTTCAGGAAGTGGTGCCTTTTCATCGCGGTCTTGGCCCAAACTAAAATAGCTGCTATCAAAAAGACTTTAACTCTTACCTGTTACCATTTTTTAATAAACAGATTCATTAAAAAGAAAACTTTTTAGCCTTTTTTAAGACATCCAGAAGTGGTAAGGGTCTAGGACGGACACAAGAAACCACCCAGCTTAGTGCCTGCTTTGTTTTTCTGCTCCTAGAGCTTCCTGAACAAGCAGTGGTCACACACACCCAGCCCAAAGGCAGCAGCCATCCTTCAACTGCTGAGCAGCTTGTGTGCTGCAACAGGAGTCCGCACTGCACAGCTGGAGTCTTAGGGTACCTAGAGACAGGGTTAAAATACTCCTTTATGCTTAATTTTTGGTTTTTTAAAAATACTTATTTTTATGAGTACTCTATCTGCATGTATGCCTTTATTCCAGAAGAGGGCTTCAGATCTCTCTGAGATGGTTGTGAGCCATCATGTGGTTGTTGGTGATTCAAACTCAGGACCTCTGAAAGGGCAGCCAGTGCTCTTAACCACTGAACCATCTCTCCAGCCCCTGCTTTAAATACAACAACAACAAAGGGTTCCTAACCTTAAGTGTATAAGGTTGAGGGTGCAGCTCAGCAACAGGTGAGCCTGCACCCCAGGCCTTTGCCACTCACCATCATGCTGTCCCCACCCAGGGTTTATAATCTGAGAAGCCGACGTGCTCAGCTTGGTCCTCAGTACCGTAGTCACAGAAAGTGAGTAAGTTAATGTTCTAGCTCTGTATTTCACGCTGATCTCCACCCATTTTTCCCTAAGGACTGGCCTCCGTGGAAAGTAGTTGATCCCATGTCTCTAGAGAAGACCCACGTGTCTGCAGTGTCCTGGAAACAGTACACCTCAGAGTAGCGGAGCTGACTCTGGAAGGCAAAGGAGTCCTAGTAAGAGACTCCCGTTGTCCGGCTAGTGACAGCATGGGGAAGAGACAGCAATGTCTGCCCTTCTTAGGTCCCAGACCCAGTTAGTTCACTGTGGGGGACCAGTGAGCTTGCTGGGCGTCCTCACAGCATAGGTGCAGAGGTTCTCAAAGGGTGTGCATGCCCCTCCCCCCACCGGAAAGTTTATTCAGCGGGTCTGCAGTTTTCCCTGGCCTATGAACTCAAGCCCCTCCCCAGGCTGCTTGCAATTAAGGCAGAGTTCCATACAACAGGTGGAAGCAATGGCTACAGTGACGGTCTTCTGGCACTTTCCCCCGCGAGGGGCTATGAACAAGCCCAGGTGCAGGTATCCGCAGCTGAACTCCCAAAATGGAGTTGCTTGGCCTGGTGATAGTCACACACAACAGAATATTCCTTAGACGCTGAATGTGAGCGGCCATTGGAGTGCAGTGGTAAAAAGGAAAATTAAACCAGGTGGTGGTGGTGGCGGCTCACGCCTTTAATCCCAGTACTCTGGGAGGCAGAGGCAGGCAGATGGATCTCTGTGAGTTCGAGACCAGCCTGGTCTACAGAGCTAGTTCCAGGACAGGTTCCAAAGCTACAGAGAAACCCTATCTCAAAAAACAAAAAAGAAAAATTAAATTAAATTATGAATACATTATTGAGTTAGTAAATACGGGTATTTATCGCTTACTACGGAGATCATTTGGTTCTGTTAGTCTACTCAGAACTGATCCACACACTGTTCCGGCAAAAGGCTTTGGTGGGGTAGGGGTGTCAAAGGAAAGGATTTGAGTTCCCAAAGGTTAAGTAAGACAGACGTTCTGGAGGGTGAGAGTCGTTTCATGGGAGTTAAATTCTCAGGATGTTAAGTGACTGTCTTAATTAATCTACAGATAACATGCAGGAGACTGGGGAGATGCTCAGCTCAGAAAGGCTCCTGCCTCCAAGCCTGACAACTTGAATTCAGTCCCCAGGTTCCACACGATAGGAGAAGGCAAATATTCCACACGCATGTGCCATATATAACACATTCCCCTCCTGAACCACACATACAATAAATAAAATGTGTAAACTTTTCAAAGCCAGATGTGGTAGCTCATTCCTTTGATCCCAGAACTTGGGAGGCCGAGGCAGGTGGATTTCTGAGTTCAAAGCCAGCCTGGTCTACAGAGTTTCAGGGCAACCAGGGTTAAAGTGAGATCTGTCTCCAAAAGTAAAGTAAATTATTAAAGTACAATATATAATGTAATAAGAAAGTTTAATAGTTAATTCTTCCTAGTTATTTTTTTCACTGGAAGTGAAAAATAATGCTAAAAAAGAAGGTTCTTAGGCATTATCACTTTTTTTTTTTTTTTGGTTTTTCGAGACAGGGTTTCTCTGTGGTTTTGGAGCCTCTCCTGGAACTAGCTCTGTAGACCAGGCTGGTCTCGAACTCACAGAGATCCACCTGCCTCTGCCTCCCGAGTGCTGGGATTAAAGGTGTTCGCCACCATCGCCTGGCTATCACTCATTTTTTTAAATATATTTTTGAGATGGGGTGTGATGGTGTAGCGAGCTACATGGAATCACAACTGATAGATATATAATCAACTGAGACGGCTAAGGCCTGACCTATGCTATGATCACACAATGATTATCAGCTGCCTGCATATGCGTGGGCCTATGGGCAGTGCCCACCTGGCAATCCGGGATTGGCAGCCCATGCCTACTTAAGGGCTGGGAGATGTTTGCCCAGAGAGGAAAAAATGAGAGAGGTCAACAGAGAGAGAGGAGGGAGGAGAGAGAGAATTGTAAAAGGTCCTAGAATAAACTGCAGTGAGAAGAGCTCTGGTGGTCGCATCATCCTTGCGGGACGAGGGTGGCCATGGCATGATGGCACTTGCCTTTAATCCCAGCCTTCCAGAGGCAGGGTAATCTCTTGAGTTGAAGGCCAGCCTAGTCTACGGAGCAATTTCCAGTACAGCCAGGCCTACATAGTGAGATCATGTCTCAAAACAAACAAAAGACTAAATAATAAAAAAATAAAATAAACTTTTACATCAGCTTACATGGTTTTCAGATACATGATTTTGGTTTTGGTTCTCAAATGTGATTTTAGATAGGGTCACATGTTAGCCAGGCTGACCTCACTTCAGTATATGGAATATACTGAACTTTTGTCAAATACATTCGCATCTTAAGTTTTTCTGTTGAGGCATAGATTCACAACCACACCACTCCATTTGCCACACCCCAGAGCTCAGGTGAAGTCACCAACGCTCTGCAGAGCCTCTGGGTCCTTGTCCTCTGTCGTCCCTCAGGGGAAGCAGTCCTTTGTTGTTCTGCCTACTTATCTTTCCATTAAGATTTCTCTACTAAGTAATTGGTTCAGAGCTGGTTTTACATGCCTTTAAACTGAGGATTTGGAAGACGGAGGCAGGTGGATCTGAGTTTGAGGCCAGCCATGGCTACGTAGTGAGAGCCTGTCTCAAATATATATTTAATATTTAATAAGCAAGTGATTTAGGGATTTCTGTTTGGAAATAAAGCTGACTGCTTCTAATTGGCTTTGCCTGCTTTTATGTGAACTGAAGTTCCCATAGAAGAGCCACACCTTTGTTACAGGTTCCTTCCACAGGGCGGACGCCCTGCTCTGAAAGACAGGAGAACTACAGTGTTGTCTCTCCAGAGGCAAATGTTCTTGGGCTAGCTTAGGCCCTTAGATTGCTATGTCTTACCCACCTCTATGAGTGATCAAACACGTTTGAGACTACAATCCTTCTGGAACGAGCAGACTCCTAGCTTTAACACAAACAGCCTACAACAGATCCCAGACAGATGTTTCCAATAATGTATTTGAGAGACTTAACTGGCAATTTTCTTTGTTCTGTTACCATAAAAACAAAATGAAACTGTTACCATGCTGGGATGTGAATTTTGGGGGTAACCTGAGTCTGTTCTTGGACACTTCTGCTTGCCTTTAGAATAACTAACCTTGTATTCCCTTTGAGCTGTGTGTGTGTGTGTGTGTGTGTGTGTGTGTGTGTGTGTGTTGGCATCAACATCTGTATAAAAGAATACCACAAGATATGTGTACACTTTCTGTCTTTAGCTTTGTTGGCTCACATTGATGTAAAATCTATATTATATGTTTTTCTGAATCACAGTTCGGTGTGTGAAATACCACAGTTCTTCATTCCGCTGATGCCATCTGAGCAGTTCAAGTCTAGTGCTATCCTAATAACTACTGCTGTCCTTATCTTTGCTTTTCTGCACGTGCCTAGAAGTAGAATTACTGGGGCACCAAGTATTGGCGTCTTCAGCCTTAGCAGACTCTGCCAGTCTTCTGCCAAGTTCTCTGGCTAAGCCACACTCAAACCAATGGTGTAAGCACCACCTACCTGATGTTTCTGCCATAGGATTTGAAAGATGCCCTGATTTCTGCATTCAAGGGAAAGTTAGTGCTCTAAAAAAAATATTGCTCTATGCGCAAGGCT